GTGTGGAGAAAACAGGCCCTGCTAGCATTTTGATTGTAACTGAATTATAAAATAATTGCACGGATGCTTTTATCCAACATGTATAATTTTTAATGTATTACCACTGAAAAACTCTGAGACAGCTAACATGTAATAAATCTCTGATGTTTGAGAAGGATATTTGAATGGTTGTTGCTGTGAACGTATTTGCTAATTGTTACCATTTTAAGATTCCAAATGATATAGCTATTTGATATATCTTGTGTTGATTAATTGGTATTTGAAAATAAGTATATACTTTTTTATTTCTGAGTAGTTTTGGGGAAAAAGTGAATTGAATATAGTTTCCAGTCATGTGTTGTCCTAATTTATATTAAGAAATTTATTTAAAAATCTTCTCATCAGAAGAGAGTTAATTAAGTAAGGCACAGTGGCACCTGCCTGTAATCCCCACAACTCAGGCAGCTGAGGCCAGCCTCAACCCCTCAGCAAGACTCTGTCTCAAAATAGAAAATAAAAGGACTGGGGATGTGGCTCAGTGGTTAAGCATCCTTAGGTTCATTCCCCAGTACAGAGAGAGAGAGAGAGAGAGAGAGAGAGAGAGAGAGAGAGAGAGAAGAAACAACAAGAAGAGAGTTAATTAGTAACTCTCTTTTCTTTTAGTGGAACCAAAAGTTCAGGAAATCTGACTTCTTTCCTTCATGGTGGGCATGTTGACATTTACAACCATCATTTCTCTGCAAGTTTTCTACCTAGTTTATTAAAAACCAATGCTATGCTGGGCTGGGGATGTGGCTCAAGAGGTAGCGCGCTCGCCTGGCATGCGTGCGGCCCCAGGTTCGATCCTCAGCACCACATACCAGCAAAGATGTTGTGTTCGCCGAGAACTAAAAAATAAATAAATATATATTAAAAAATTCTCTCTCTCTTTAAAAAAAAATCAATGCTATAAATGACTTTTTAAAAAAGAGGCTGAGGATGTAGCTTTTGGTGGAGCACTTGCTGAACCTGTGGGTTCAGTCCTGGGATCAGTCCCCAGGCTGCAGAAACACACACACGCACAACCTCGATGCTATGAAAGTCCTCTGAAAGGCTCAGCAGCGTATTTTGGAGTCATTTTTTTTCCTGAGCATTCTCTGAATCAGTTTCTTCCAGGGTAAATATTTTACCTAGCAATTTTAGAATAGGAAGAGCTGTTGCCAGAAGGGATTTGTGGTGTTTTTCAGTGAGGTCTTTAATGTGGGTCACCCTATGAGAAATGTGAAATTTCTGGACAGCCCTTTCCCCCTGGAAGGGACTGTGTATGAGCCAAGTTGTTGGACAGCAGACCACTTATTTTTATTTTCAACTTCAATATTCTTCCCTTTAGAAACCATTTTTGGAGTGGCACTTCCCAGTTTGTGATGCTGTCCTGGGAAGGGTTGGAACACAGGCTCAAGGACATCCTGACTTTGTAACTTTAATATCAATTCCTCTTTATCAAAAGTTCCCTGTGACTCTGGAGTAATTATCTCTTTTTGGGGGGTGGGCAGGTGGGTACTGGGGATTGAACTCAAGGGCACTCAACCACTGAGCCACATCCCCAGCCCTATTTTGTATTATTTTGTATTTTATTTAGAGTCAGGGTCTCACTGAGTTGCTTAGGGTCTCACTGAGTCGTGGCTGGCCTCGACCTTGTGATCCTCCTGCCTCAGCCTCCTGAGTTGCTGGGATCACAGGCCCACGCACTGTGACCCACTGTCCCTCGGCCACTTGAAATGATTTCTGGGGAATCTCAGCCCACCTGGGCTTCTTAGCAGGAACTGCTAGGAAACTCCTTTGAAGCGAGGCAGGTGTGGGTGTGGGAAGGCTCCTTGGAGATGAATCAGCGCGGCTTGGTCCAGGGTGAGTCAGGATCAGGGCCTGGGAAGGGCTGGCCACCAGAGGGAGAAGCGGTGGGGAAGTCGCAAGCGGAGACCAGCGCTGCAACGACACGTCGCTACCACCAGGGGGCAGGAGCCGGTCGGGCAAAAGCCAGCAGCCGCTGGTGCAACACTTGTTCACTTGGAGCACGCAGAGGGCGTGGATGGAATGGAAGATCCAGTTTCTCCAGCTGGACATCCTTGCCCTGGGCATCCCCACTGCCTGCCTGTGTCCTGGCTTCTCTGCCTGTAGACAAGTGGAGAATGTTGGAACAGGACTCAGGCCTCTCATTCATCCAACAGACCTGTCCCTCCGTGGGGGAATGACTGCTGGAGGTCACACAGCAAGCTGGTGGCAAGTGAGTCTGATTTTCACAGACGCAGAGCATTGCCATGGGGTGGGCACAATTCTGGCTTCAGTTCCGGAGGGGAGACACCTGGCTATGGACAGGCCTCCAGATGCGGGGGGACTCCCAAGAGCCCTCTCCCCCTTCTGGTTCCAAACCAGTCACTCCGTCCCCACTCCGTTTCTGCTTGACCTTTCCCCCAACTTCTCTTTCATAGCTCCTTGCCCTCTCTCTCCTTCTCTCTTTTTCCATGACTGCCTCTTTGTCTCTCTTTGTCGGCCTCCTGTCTCCATCCCTCCCCACCAGGGAGTTTGCTCTGCTCCTTAGCTGGTCCCCGTGATGGGATGTTTCCTGTGGTCACTCCTCGGGGATTTGTAGCTCTCTGAAGCTCTGTTTTCCAGCCTGATGCCTCAGTTCCACTCCTGGGACCCAGAGGAGACGTTGTTATTTGCTAGTGTCATCAGTGGTGTGACCTCAGGCGGCGAGAACAACTCCCTGACCTCGTGGCTCCTAGATGCCACCCCCAGTGACCCTCATTGCCATTCAGCGGTCGTAAACACCGCTCAGCACCTGGTGTGGGTGAGACCCTTTGCTCATGCAGCAATGAATCAGGCCCAGTGCCTGCTCGGTGAGCTCACCATGAGCAGGTGAGGGCAAAAGAAAACAGGTACACAAAAGACTCAGTGTAGCTGGGAGTGAGTGCTCGGGAAGGCTCTGTGTGGGACGGAACAGGTGGAAACCGAATCTGGCTGGGCCTGGGAAGGCTCTGTGAAGGGGAGAAGGGATCTTGGCAGAGGAGATGTGATGTGGGTGTGTGTGGGGGCATATTCTGAGCCAAGTGATGTCATCAGCCAAGGGTCTGGGTCACGGCAGCTGTGTCCAGCCCTGTACGTGCTCAGTGAGCAAGGCAGTCGGGCATCATCAGGCAGGTGGGAAAGCAGGGGGGACCGGAGTGCGGAGCACCTTGCTGCTGGCCCTATGGAAGAGCCGGTGCAGTTTGAGTAGGGAGGGACCCTCTGAAGCCCCCGTGAAATGGAACAGTGGCTGTGCACCACGTCCCATTTGCCCTCACCCTAACTCACTTCATCTCCTGCTCCCCTTGGCCCCTAAGTCTCACAGTGGCCCCCCGGGAGGACCAGCCGGCTCGGGGTCTGACCTCTGTGCTCTTGGTCTGCTCAGGCTGTGTGCTGCCATCACCCACGTCTAGACCTGGGTCCTTCAGTGGAGGGTCTCCATGCCAGGACTTTGGCCCGGGTTTTCCGGTGGCTGCTGGGGGAGTAGGGCGTGCCGCTGAGTCACTGCCTCCTGGGCATCTGGGTCTGGAACCTCGGGTGAGTCACCAAGGGGGGGGGTGTTGGGGGGTTGGGGGAGGGGAAGGTCTGTTTGACATCTGCAGTGGGGAGGGGAGCTAGGCCCACAGGAAGGGCGGTGCCCAACGGGGTTTAGGGTACACAGAGTGCGGGAGGTGGGTGCCCTGGGAGGGGGGTGGTGAAGCTGAATCTTCCCTAAGACCTCTCCCCTGGGCTGGCTTGAGGGCCACAGTGCTCGCCCTTCTCTGGGCTTGGAGAGGGCAGGCGGGGAGTTGGGGGCGGTGAGGGAGGCTGTGGCTGGGGAAACTACCCAACTGCCTCTTTCCCGCTTCCGGTAGGGGTGTCTTCCCACCCACTCCCCACCTCTCCAAGCTGGAGAAGAGGAGCCCAGGGTTTTCCTGTTCTGCCCTGGACCCCTCCTGGGGGCTCCCTTGTGCTCCACACCGATGTTCGCTCCACTTTAACTGAGGCTGCAGGCACAGCAATCCCCATTTCTCCCTGTGAGGTATTTTTAATTGCACCCAATCACTCTGTTACCTTAAAGTTACGTTAGAAGTAATTTTAGGTGGGGTGCGGTGGCTCACGCCTGTAATCCCCGTCGCTCAGGAGGCTGAGGCAGGAGGATTGCAGGTTCAAAGCCAGCCTCAGCAATTCAGTGAGGCCCTAAGCAACTTAGCAAGACCCTGTCTCACAATGGAAAGGTCTGGGGATGTGGCTCAGCGGTTAAGTGCACCTGGGTTCAATCCTTGGTACCAAACAAACAAAAAACCAAAAATTTATTTCCTTTACTTCTTGAAGTCAGCATTGACCTCCTCCTCTTGATGCCCCCCAGCTGCCTTCTCTGGCCCCCAGCTTTCTAAGGGCAGCTCCGGTCGGCTTCTGTCTCACACATGCTCAAACACACACACATAAACATGCACACACATGCATGCACATGACCTCGGGGCTGCGAATTTCCCGCCTACTCTGGGTCACCAAGGCGTCGGAGCGAGCTGTGACTCACGGGCAGATCATGGGAACCAGGCCTGGCAGCCCCGGACCCCTGGCCCACGTTGCCCCTTTCCCATGACCTCTCCCTCTAGCTGCCCTGCCCTGGGTGGGCTCAGGGGCTGCCCTTAGCTGGCGGGGGCCCTCCTCCAGCTGGTGGAGGACCCAGCCATCTCTGGGAGGAAGGGGGGAGCCCAGGGTGAGTGGGGTGGCAGGAGGCCAGGTTGTGGGGCCATCAGGCCAGAACAGGTTCTGTTTCCTGAAAGCGCCAAGTCTGGGCGTGGGGCTGACACATAAATCCCCTTCCTGAGTGCCTGGCCACTCTGTTCCCTCCTGGGTCTCTCTGCCACCCCATCTGGTGAGTGCATCTCCGACTCGACCCTTGTTTCCATAGTTTTCTATCTCCAATTTCCTCGGTGGGATTGGCCTTGAGCCAGTTGGGGGGACCCTCTGTGAGTCAGATTGAGGGATCTTTCTCCAGGTTGTTCTGTGAGGTCTCAGTTTGGGGGTTATCCGTGGCCTTCCTCGGGTCTCTTGGTCGGGGCATGTTATTCTGAAGGAGTCCTTCTTCGGGGGTCTAGACCAAGGGCAGGTGATATGTGTGTGAGGGGTACTTTAAGAGAATTCTGAGTTGGTTTTGATTTTGCAAAGTCCTGGCTAGTCCTTAGTAAGGCTGAGGAACAAGGAGCAGGGGTCCCCGACACATGGCCCCACCCGGGTCCTGGCCTGGAATAGCGGCCTAGCTCTGCCCAGGTGAGGGCAGGCTGGCGGGCGGGGCTGGCCGCGGGGCCCAGGGCTTTCCCTGCCTCCAGGACAGCTCCTCGGCCTTGCGCTGGGACCTGCCTGACTCTGCAGGCTGACCTCAGCGTTCTCAGGGGGAAATGGAAAATGCCCTCTGAGGTCCATCCTTGTGACCCCAGATTCTACCTGGACCCCAAGGCACGAAACGTTTAGTTTCTTTAGTTCTAATCCCAGCAAAGTCCTTCGTGGCCCCTGCCCCCTGCCCGTGTCTTGCCAGCACACACAGCACTCCAGGACTGAGGGTCTCCTGTGATCAAGGAGACACGTCCTCGTCTCCGAGAGCCCCTAGTCCGAGGGAGGCGACATCCCTGCCAAAGAGGCTCCCAGGCAGTCGGCAGCCCTGGCCCGAGGCACAAGAGACCCCTGGAGGGAGCCTCAGACTCCGGGAGCCATGGCTATTGCCCTGTGGTGCAGGGAGCCACCGGCCAGCCCTGTGCACACCTGTGCTCCCCGGAGCTTGGCACGGCTCTGGTCACCCTGTTAGTTCCCTTCCCAAGACTCTCAAGAGGGGGAGCCCTGCCCTCAGAGGTGTGTTCCCAGTGTGACTGTGCCCTTGGGGGACACGGGAAGGTTCAGCATCTGCCCTCATGCCAGGTGTGGGCACGACCCTTGCCCACGGGAGCCACATTGTGAGGGCGACATGGGGCCCCCACTTACAGAGGGGCTTGGTGAAGTAGGGGGGGCCAGGGCAGAAGTGGGTCCTGCTGGCTGGGCTTGGCCCCAGGTGACTTGGTGACGTCAACGTCATTGCCACTTCTCCGGCCCCAGGTCCAAGATGTCCAGTCCCCTGGAGCAGGCGCTGGAGGTGATGGTCACTACCTTCCACAAGTACTCTGGCCAAGAGGGCGACAAGTTCAAGCTGAGTAAAGGGGAGATGAAGGAGCTTCTGCAGAAGGAGCTGCCCAGCTTTGTAGGGGTGAGTGGGGCAGCCTGGGAGGGTGGGTGGGGCCGTGGGGGCGCGGGGCGGGGTGCAGGCTAAGTCTCTGCCTCTTCACTCCCGTGATGCCTGCTGGTGCAGAGGCCAGGGTGGGGTCGAGCTTGGTTCCCCTGGAGTGGGAACAAGGCCCGTGTGTGAGCGTTCTGTTTATGGCTGTCCACTGCAGCATTCTTGAGAACTGTGTGCTGTTGGGGTCCTCAGAGTCCATCTGTCAATTCTCTTCACTGGAGAATTGAGCAGCTCAAAGCCCAGAGAGGGAAAGTGACTGGCCCAAGATCACACAGCTAGCCTGTGTACTTTCCCCTCCTCTTATTTTCCATATTTACGTGCCAAACCAAGAGGGCATGTAGACAGGATAACGCAGCAAAGACACGCACTCTGGGACATTTTGCAGAGAAATGCAGTCATTTCTCAATTTGCCCCTTGGTACCCTTGTACTGACTAACGGTAAAGTCAGGTCCCAGGCTTTGACCATATGAGGCAGGTCTGTCCTTCCGTCCTCCCTCCCACTCTCCCTCTGTCCGTCCCTTATTTCCTTCCTACAATTTCCAAATCATTTTGGTTGTATAAAGAGCATTTGCTTCTCTGAATCCCATGCTGATCTGGGGGAGCAGCAAGCCTGTGTCCTCATCAGCAAAATGGGGTCATGATATCCAGCTGGTTGGGCTACAGTGGGGGTTAGAGCCGGTGGGCACTTAGAGGCGTGTCCAGCATCCCCCTACCCCAGGAGGGTGTGCGGGAGACCCCTGCCCACCACGTCCCTGGCAGCCAGTGGAGGGAGCGCTGGGCCCTGGCTTGGGGGCATCGTTCTGGCTGTGGCTCTGGTGCGGTGTGGGGCAGGAGCCAGCCTGGCCATGACCCCAGTCCTTCCTGCTTTCAGGAGAAGGTGGATGAGGAGGGGCTGAAGAAGCTAATGGGCAACCTGGATGAGAACAGCGACCAGCAGGTGGACTTCCAGGAGTATGCCGTTTTCCTGGCCCTCGTTTCCATCATGTGCAATGACTTCTTCCAGGGCTACCCAGACCGGCCCTGAGGACCCACTCTGGACTTGGGCCACCAGTCTCTTGGGTTCAGGAGGACTCTCCGTCCCTTTTAATTTTGTACTCAATAAAGATTTTTATTTGTTGGTAATACTCTCTGCTGGTATGTGGTGCTGCTGAGGATCGAACCCGGGCCGCACGCATGCCAGGCGAGCGCGCTACCGCTTGAGCCACATCCCCAGCCCCTGTTGGTAATACTCTCATTGCTCAGTGCTGCCCGGTCACTTTCCTGGCTCAGTTAAAGTGCCGGGAACTGGGGGCTTCCTGAATCCCACCCGGGTCTGCACCTTGACCCTGCAGGTCAGAGCTGTGCCTTCGGCCCTCGTTCTGAGATTTCAGACACCGATAAAAGTCTGGGAATCAAAATATTTTTTTCAACTTTTTATTTTGCCAAATAAAGATATTTTTTAAAAAAGGCAAATGCCATCGACCATTCCTAACATCTCATAAAAAGAAAAGTTCAGTTGCAACCCAGAAGTGTCCAACCTCAGAATAAAGGACAGACTTCAATACTGTGAGCAAGGAGTGGGCCTAGAAGCTGGTGGGAGACATGGATTGGCCTCAGCAGCCCTGCCAAGCTTCATTTTTGAGGACTCTTTGTCAGATTATAGGCCCTAGGCTGTGTACTTATTTTCATAAAAGCTATACTTATTTTTGCATCTGCTTCCAGATTGGCTAGCTCTATTTTGAGTTCATTCCTCTCCTGTTGATCTCTGCTAAAAGCTCCTAGGGAGCTAGCTCCTGCCAAAATTCTTTCTGTTCCCCTACCATTTTCTCTAAAATCGTAGGCCAGGTTGCCACAGGTTCTGCGTCCTAAGGGACATCAGGTGACACTTTGTCCCAACGCTTTGCCACGTCATAACAAGGGTTACCAACCTTCCAGTCTTGATATGGTTTTCTTTGTAGTCTTTTTCCAATTTCACATTTTATGTTCTTCTCCTTGTTAGATTCTATTTCTAGTTACCAAATGCTCTACCAGTTAGTGATGTATTTGGTTTACAGAGAGCCTGACTAGTAACGTCATACGTAAACCAGCATTTTTAATGCCTCACACAATAAGCCGTCTGGATAGGTCGGTCATGTTTGGCTCAGTGGCTCAGAGATGCTTTACGGGTTACCTGTCGACGTACAATGAACCAGCCCACTGTATGGTGCCTTAAAACACAAATTGGTTGTCTCTAATGGTTCTGTGGCTAGCCTGGGCTTAGCTAATGGGTCTCATTTAGGATGTCTCATGCGCTTGGTATTGGGAGTCGGAGTGGATCATCTGAAAGTTCTGATTGGCTGGGCATGCTTGGTGCAGTCGGAAGTGAGTCACACACAGGTCATCAGTTCCTTGATGGAGCCCAGTGCGACTCTGTACATGGTTCTCCTGGATCCTGGCTCTTGGCTTCATGTTCTGAGTCAACTCTTTTTTTCCCCGTAAGAAATGTCTGGGCTGGTCATGGTGGTGAACACCTGTAATTCCGGCTACTTGGGGAGAGGCTGAGGCAGGAGGATCCCAAGTTCAAGGCCAGTCTGGGTAATTGGGCAAGACCCTGTCTCAAAATAAAAAAAATACAAAGGGCTGTGAATATAGCTCAGTGGTAGAGTGCCCCTGGGTTCAATCTTCAATATTTGGGATGGGGATGAGAAGAGAGAGAAATGTCTGTTTTATAGGTAAGTAGCTTTCTCTATTTCTTCCCTATAAAAGGCTAAAGACTCAAAACTCACTCTCTCTCTCTCTCTCTCTCTCTCTCTCTCTCTTTGAGTTTTCTCTGTTCCTTTCTTTCCAAGATGATACAATTCCTTTAAAAATATTGTGGACTCCCTGTGCACCAATTTATAATTAGATGAAAGCCACAGCTAGAAATCCCTTTGAGCCTGATCTCTTTTTACCTTCGGCTGAGAGTCAGGGTGCTGTGAGGGAATGTTCTTAAGACCCTTACAAGCCCTTCTCTGCAATGGTCCAAGTGGCACACTTCTAAAAGTATTATAAGCCAAAATGGTGGGTGCTGTGGTGCAAACCTGTAATCCTGGTGGCTTGGGAGGCTGAGGCGGGAGGATGGAGCGTTCAAGCCTACCCTGGGCAATTTAGCCAGACCCTAAAAGCTCAAAAGGCTGGGAACCTAGCTTACTGGTAAAGAGCCCCTGGGTTTAATCCACAGTACTGCAAATAAGTAAATAAATAAAATAAAAATAAAAATAAATAAAATTACCAGAAGCTGTATTTTTTATTTGAGAAAGCTTCGGAAGTTCCCCTTAAATCTTTCTGAGTCTCACGAAAAGGCCTCACCTTTGATTTCAGTTTTACCTTGAGACCCCTTCATAGGCAGAGGCCTGGAGTTGACCTTTGCCCTGAGACCCTTTATGACTTTGAGACGCTTTTGCTGGCTGGAAAAACTCCAGTGGGACCTCAGTATTTCCTCTAAGTTCTGCTAAAAACCGAAATAGGTCCTTGTTCGCTTCAGCTCTCTCTTCTCATTTTTAATCAAAGGCAGCCAGAAGAGACAGGCAGGCAACTCCACTGTTCTTCTAAGGTCTTCTTGTCTGGGATCTAGAAACGTTATCAGGAGCCTTTTCTATTTCCCATCAACACCAGATGATGGTGTTGCCAGACATCTCACGGCTACCTAACAGGGTCTCCCTTTTCTCCAGCTGCAGGGATGATTATTTTTTGGCTGTCATTCAAATTATTACCAAATAATTACCTTTTTAAGGTCCTCTCTGCTTTCACCCGTTGCCTGGTCCCAAAGTTAATGACACCTGTTTAGTTTTTTGTACTAGCAGAATCTTCCTGGGGCACTCTACCACTGGGCTACATCCAGCCCTTTAATTTTTTTTTTTTTTCAAATTCTGAGACAGGCTGGTCTCTAAATTGTCCAGGCTGGTCTCCAACTTGCGAGTCTCCTGCCTCAGCCTCTCTGAGTAGCTGGGATTATGGGCGTGCACCACGGAGCAGGGCTAAAACATGGATTGGCTTGAATGAAAAAGGAAGAGGGGGACGAAGAGTGGACAGATAATAGGCAGTGTTTTTCTGAATTGTTTTCTTATTTTTCTTCCTTCCCTGGGAAATCGGCTGCTTGGGAACCACGTGCAGAGTAGCTCAGGCTCAGTTCTCTAGGATGGAAAGGACCCAGGAGAAGGCGCTGGAGACCCTCTGGTTCTCACCTACTCTTTGGCCTTAACTGCCCACTGAGCCCGGTGAGGCGAGGCTGGGCCGGCCTGCAAGGACAAGTGGTCTCTTTTCGAGGCCATAAACAGACAGAAGCCCACTGTCCTCAGACCCTGCAGGGAAGGAGCGAGTAGACACGGGGCGGGGAGTCGTGATGGTGGTCAGCATCTCTGCTCAGTTCTCAGAGCTCCTTCCTGCACGCTGTCATCTCAGCCTCTGGCAACCCCTCAGGAACGATCACTAGGCCCTGTTTACAGATGGAGAAACTGAGGGGGCGCAGCATCAGCCGTTTGTGGAACACCCTCAGGTGCTCTGTGGGGCCTACCCAGGATCCTCCCAAGACTGGACAAGGGATGTGCTGTTGGTTCTGCACACCACGATGAGGAAACGGACCAGAGAGGGTAAAGAAGAACTTGAGCCACGTCTGTAAGAAAAGTCTGCATGTCCATGGGGCACTGGGGGGGGGGCACTGGGCCTTCCTCTGCTTCCTGCAGCCGAGTCCAGAGCCCTGGGCTTTGTGTGAGCTCAAGGGACCGGGCTGACCAGAGGCCAGGTGCTTCTGGTCTTCCCGCTCTGATTAACAGGGGGCAGGACCACTCCCTGGTGGCTGGATCCTGCAATCTGATTTCTTTTGGACTTCTGGTCCCCGTGGGTCCTGGCTTCTCAGCCCTGGATTCTGGAACTGCTTCGGTTGGTGGAGACTGGCTTCAGCTGACTACCTCCGGAGTTGTCCCCAGCTGGGCATGTCCCAAAGAAAGCTGATCTCCATTCTTCTTGGGTGTTTGACAAACTAACAAACAAGGCACTTTTCTAGCCACTCCCAACATTCTTCTTTCCTTCCCCCCTGTCTCCAAGTCTCTGTGCTGAGGCAGAGAAGGAAGACCTGTGGCCAGACTCTCCCTTTCCCTCTGGGACTGCTGTTGGGAGGAGAGTTAGGGACTCTCACCTCCTGTGATGTCCTGTGGCCTTTGCTCCTTTGGGTTAGCCCCCGACAGTTCATTAACAGTCCAAGAAAAGGGAAATGGAGGGCAAAGGTAGATTTCCTTACCAAAGTCAAGTCTGTTTACTTGTTGCTCAGTTCTTGATTACAAGTTGTTGGGACAAGGAAAAGATATGTGGGAACACCAGCAAGAGGAGAGGATGGGCTAGAGCCCTGGGTGGTGGCGAGACCCAACCACCTGAACTTAGTCTGGGTTTCAGGCTCCTTTTATCCTCGGGCAAGGGGAGGGGACTCCTTGGTTTTGGGAAGGATCAAGGACAGATGGCCATGTGCCTCTCCACGCTCGGGAATGGGGTGCTGCAACGTATGCTGTAATCATAAGACGCCATGCCCCTGTGAATTTTGGAAATCTTTATCTTGATATCTTTAGCCTTGAAGTGGGAGGAGAGAAAGTAGGGAAATTTAGGGAAAATCAATCTTGTACTAGTTCCAGACAAATGTTCCTTAAATGACTAATATGTCTACACGTGAAATTGAGCAAAAATCTGACCCAATGGTCAGATTGGGGGGGAAGAAAAAGGAGGAAATCCTTTTTTTTTTTTTTAAGTTATTCATGACAGTGGAATGTATTTTGACATATCAAACATGCACGGAACATCACTTTCCATTCTTGGGTTGTTCGTGGTGTAGCGTTTCACTGGTCTTGTATTCCGATATGAACATAGGAAAGTGAAGTCGATTCACTCTACTGTCTTAAGAGGAAATCTTAACCAAAAGTCAAGGCACAGGAGACAGACACAATAAGAAGCAGAGATGTGACAGACACTTGTCCAGCCGCAAGTGAAGAGTCAGTACTTTTAGCAAAAGTGGCCAGTAGGTCCTTGAAAAGACCCCAGCTATCACCATGACCCACATGACGGAGTGTCACCTGTAGCTAAGCTGGTGGGAGACTCATAATGTATTGTTCAGTTACATCACTTCCCAAATTATTAATTTTTTTTTTTGGTACTGGGGATTAAACCCAGGGGTGCTTAACCACTGAGCCTTTTCATTTTGAGACAGGGTTTCACTAAGTTGCTGAGGCTGGCTTTGAACTTGTGATCCTCCTGCCTCAGCTTCCCAAATGGCTGGGATGATAGGCGTGCGCCACCACGCCTGGCAAAATGAGTGATTTTTTAAAGTTAATTAAGAGCGAGTGAAGTTAGAGGGTTTATTTAGGCTTTTCCTCAATTACAAGCTCGGACATCGAAAAGTGATTGAACTGTGAAATGGATGTAGTCAGCTGTTGATTTGGCAGTCAAAAAAAAAAAAAAAGGACAGATATCCAGGTGTGGTGGCACCTACCTGTAATCCCACCTACTCAGGGGGCTGAGGCAGGAGGATCAAAAGTTGGAGGCCTGCCTGGGCAACTTCAGAAGATCTTGTCTCAAAATTAAAAAAAATAAAATAAATAAATAAAATAAAGATTACTGGGGATGTAGCTGGGGGAAAAGTACTGGGGGAGGGAAAAACAAAACAAAAGAGAGTGGTAGGTCTAAGCGTCACAGACTCCCGGATCCCAGCCCAGGTCTTCTTTTCTGAGTTCTGTAGAGTCCTGCCTGGCTCCAGCCCTATCTGCAGTCATCCAATACCCCTCCCCAGGCGTTCCCTATACTTGGCTCAGGAGACGAGAAAGGAGGTCAGGCGTTGGGAAAGGTTCTTTGGCCCCATGGGGCTATGGGATTGGAATGATCACTCTGTCCCCGGGACTCAGGCCTTTTGGGCACAAATGCAGGGACTGCCCGGGTGCTCAGGACACTTCATTTTATCTTTCCCTGAGGCCCAGGACAGACAGTGACCTTGAGGTGGATGATGCAGTTTCCAGGGAACCTGGTGAAATGATGGCACTGACAGTGGGGACAAGGGGCAGGGGACAGTGCTCTAAGACGCACCGCCAGACAGACAGCATCGGCAGGGGACCCCGAGACCTCTCACATGGCCCACAGTGACAGCAAGTGAAACAAAGCCCTTCGACACTGGATTCTTAGTCTTCTCCGTCTCCTCTCCCTTCTTTTTTTCTCCACTGGGAATTAAACCCAGGGTCGCTTTACCACTGAGCTACATTCCCCAGTCCCCCACTCTGTTGGTCCTGGGGATTGAACCCAGGGATTCTTTTTTTTTTTTTTTAATTTACAACTAAATAAATATATATATTTATTGGTTGTTTAAAACATTACAAAGCTCTTGACATATTGAACCCTGGGATTCTTTACCACTGAGCCATATCCCCAGCTCTTTTTATTTTTTTATGTTGAGACAAGGTCTTGCTGAGGCTGGCTTTGAACTTAGGACTCCTGTCTCAGCCTCCTGAGCTAGGGCATTACAGCTGTGCGCCACCTCACCTGGCCCTATTTTCTTCTTTGAGTCAGTCTCCCTAAGTTGCCCAGGATGGCCTTGAACTTGCCGTCTGCCTGCCTTGGCCTTCCAATCTGCTGGACCACGACCAGCTTCCCATGAGACCTGTAAGGTAGAAATCTTCCAGATCCATTTCAGAGGCAAAGAAAGTAGTGCCCTAAAAGGGTAAAGGCACGCGTGCTGAGGTCAGTTGGTGGAGAGCGGTGGAACTCTGAGTGAGGGTCCTTCCATGACGGTCCTCCGATTCCCGCGGGTTGGTACCCAGCCCACCCTCAGGAGTCACCTTCCAGAGTGAGCTCCTTGCCCCTCTGCCGTCTGCCTGGCCTCTCCCAGCTCTCCCAGGGGACAGACACAGGGCGGGGCAGCCATGTCCAGCAACATTAAAGGCTGGTAGATAAGCACGTGGACTTGGGAGCCTGGCTCTGGGTTCTCCCCTGACCACCCAGCTAAAGCAGCCTCTCACCAACACCATTTTCTTTCTTGTAACTCTGCTTCATTTTCCCTCTTGACATTAAGACACCAGCCTGTTAAACATTCATTTGTTACTGTCTGTTTCCCCGGCTAGATTCATCTCCCCGGAGCAGAGACTGTATCTTTCTTTTCTTTTTTTAAAAATATTTTTGACTGTATCTTTTTTTTTTCTAACATTTTTAGTTGTAGATGGACATAATACCTTTATTTTGTTTATTTAATTTTTTTAATGTGGTGCTAGGGATCGAACCCAGGGCCTCAGCAGCGCTAGGCAAGCTCTCTATCAATCACTGAGCCACAACCCCAGCCCCTGGACTGTATCCCTTTTGTTCATGGTGCCAGGTGCCAGCACAGATGCCTCTGAATATTCACATGGTCCTGAGCCTGCCACTCACTAGGTATGTGGCCTTGGGCCGATTAACCCCCCTTGGTCAACAGGCCCTTCCTATGTACTGGGCAGCTATTTATTCCATGAGCGTTGTATTTATCAGCTCATTTCAGCCCCACAACAAACTTACGTGGTCGTTACTACTACTGTCCTCCGTCATTGGCAGAGGAAGCCCCGGGAGCAGAAGTGAGCCACTTCAGGGGGGAAGAAGTGGTTGACCTAGAACCAAATTAATTGTTGGCTCAACAGGGCCCCCGCTTCTGAGGCCTGACTGTCTCTGCCTTCTTCCCTGCTCCCCGTAACTCCCTGCCCATAAAACAGGGTTAATCACAGCTTGTCCTTCCCTTCTGCCCGTCTCCAGGGGGTGGAGGTGACGGCCCCGGCGAGGCTGGGTGCTGGGCCCGGGTGAGGTCAAGTGTCGTTAGCTGCCTCTGTGGGCATGAGGATGTCTTCACTGTCCTGGTTGTCCCCTCCCCACCCCACCCTACTCTCCTAGGTCTTCAGTCTCTTTCTGTGAATCAGGGAACTTAGGGGTAGAGGGAGAACAGAGAACCGACGTGAAAGGATTTCCATTTCTGGTCATCTGCTCAAGCAAAAAAACAATAAAAAAAAAAAAAAACAACCAGAGGAAATTCTGGATACAATTAAAATCATCTATTTTTTCAGAGACTCGCCAAGGCAGTAATGATGAGTAGGTCAAAATCTAAGCGAAAAGCAGAATCTGGGAGGTGAACAGGGCACCGGGCCTCATGCCCTGAAGGCGTTGGCCAAGCCAAGCCAAATCTGGGCTTTGGGGATTTGGGAAGAGGGAAGCTGAAGCCCAGGGTTCACGGAGGAGGCAGCACAACTGAAAGACACCCCACAAAATGCTGGAACCCTAAAGGGCTCCATGCTGAAACTAGAAGGCAGAGGACCTGCACACCCCGCAAGGATAGTTGTCCAAGTGCCGAGCAGAGCAGAGCGACTCTTCAGGAACGCAGCCCAAGTGGCTCTCCAGAGTCTGAGGCCCAGGTTCCTTCGCATCACCTGGGGCGGAGGGCTAGAAAACTCAAGCCCAGCCTGCAGGAGGCCCCCTAGGAGGAGCATCCTCTGCCTAGGCACCAGGACACCCCCCAGTAACCTCTCCCAGGGGAGCAAGCAGTTCACACGCAGCCTCCAGCAAGCCGGCAGCCAAGGGATGTGGAGAGAGGTGGGGCAGACAGGGGTCTCCTTGGCCTTTCTTCCCGTTTGAGGATGAGGGCTTCCCCCGATGGTCGCCAAGGCGCCTCCTTGCACGGAGGCTCTGGGGTGCAACCTAAAAGAGGCGAACGTGGGTCCCCACCTTGTACTGTGGGTGCTTCTTCAGAGGGAAGAGACGGGGAGAGGGAGGGGAGGGATTGGCCAGCCATGGCTGGAAGGACACAGGCCCCAGTTCCCACTCGGGGTGGGAGAGGGGTGAATGGGGAGTGGTGTTTGAGGCCAGAGCGGGCCTTTGATGTGTGCGTGGATGGTGGGCGGTGGGCCTGTGATGGGGACTGCTGGGGGAAGCGCGCAGGTGAGCCCCTGGGGGCAGCCTTAGCATTGACCTACTTGGGACTCCCATAATTACTGCCCTCATTCCTGGGGAAGGTACAAATAGGGATGCCCTGTCCCTAGGCTTCAGGAACTGAAACGCCAACACTGTGGTGAGTGGTGGCCGCTTGGTCCTTCCCTGGGTTGGCTGTTAGGGTAGCTCAGGGGGCCTCCCCGGTAGCCAGCCTGTCTCCTGACCCAGCGTCTGGGCATGTCGGTGGGCAGAGAGAGGACCACACGGGTGATGGGGCGAGGGAAGTCCTACGTGGTGGTTCAAGGGTTCTCAGGTGTCATGAAAGGCTCTCTGGAGGTTCAGGCCTGGGTGTGTGTGTGCAGAACTGAGGTCTGGCTCCAGGAGCGGGCAGTGGGCTGGAAGTTCTGGTGGAGCCCTTAGTTGGCTCCTTGCCCTCTCCTTGCTCCCTGGCTTCATTCCCGGGGATGGGTTGGGACAAGCCAGGGCTGTGGGGAAAGGTTCCTGCCAGGCTCCAGGCCCTGAGCTTCTGAAACAGTAGCACAGGTGGTGCCAGGCAGACTGGCGGGAGCCCAGGAGGGCAGGCTGTGCACCCCAGAGGCCCCTGACTCCCGGGGACCATGGCCCTTCCTCTCCAGGGAACGTGCATACCTCGCTCTAACCCCGGGCTGCCACAGAGAATTAGGACCCAGCAGGCTTGGCACCCCAGCCCCCTACGTCCCTGCCAATCAGGATGGCCATTTGCCCCCGCAGAAGGGGAACGGCTGGGGACAGAGTATGGCCCTGTCTGTCCCGTGTTGCAGGATGCCGTCCCCCGGGGAAGCAGGAGTGAGTCATCGGCTCACATGGAAACAACTCATCTTCCTGGCTGCCCAGGGTTTCCCTCGGCTGCAGCAGTTATCCTGGAAGGGCACGGAAGGGGACAGTGAGATTTAGGGAGGGGTGCAATTCCAGGCTGGCTTCCCCTCCATCAGAACTGGGCCTTCTATCTCAAGGCCCCCCAGGGGTCTGAGGATGGCCTCCCCCACGTAAGGACGGTCACAGATGGCAAATCCCTGAGCGGGCCAACTCCCCAGAGGGCTTCTGGTTCATGTCCCTGCTAGGCCTGCGGGGGGGGACGGAGCCCCCTTAAGGCCTCTGACACCCGAGGGAGAAATGGCTCGCCCAGGTGCTCGCTGGCGGGGCAGAGGCTCCCAGTGATTCTCTTGACTGCAGCTTCCTTGGGTTCGGGACAGGAGGCAGGGGGTCTGGGGGTTCCTCTCAGACTGGCCCCTCCCTGCCCGTGCTCAGCTCCCCCAGGGCCTGAGGGCAAGGACCTCCTACTCAGGTTCCTTCAGGAAGGGGCTCTGGGGTCCTGAGGGGAGGAGACCTCTAGGTGGGAGCAGGGGACGCCGAGCAGGGGACTGAGCCACTGTGGGTCAGAGAAGGTGGGTAAGTGTCAGGGAGACCCCAGGGAGCTCCACTGTGGGGGTGAGGGTGGTGGGTGCGGCAGTCTCTCCTGATGCTGGGAAGTGAGACCCCTTTGTCCAGGAGAATCACAATGGGGGCGTCGGGAAGGGAACTAGTGTGGTCAGGGAGGGCTGCTGGGAGGAGGAGAGCTTGGGGGGCCTGAAGCCTGGTGGAGATTACGTCGGGGAAGAACCCCTGGGAAACACCAGGAAGGGGTCCCTGGGGAGTTCCGCGGGCAGAGGCGAGCAGAGGAGCTGGCTGGCCTTTGCTGCAGCTCACATCCTTGCTCTGTGACAGTGAGGATGGCCCGGCCCCTGGAGCAGGCAGTAGCTGCCGTCGTGTGCACCTTCCAGGAATATGCAGGACGCTGCGGGGACAAGTACAAGCTCTGCCAGTCGGAGCTCAAGGAGCTGCTGCAGAAGGAGCTGCCCACCTGGACCCCGGTGAGGCCCGGGCTGCCCGCCCTTCCCTGACAGCAGAGAGGCTCTGCCTGGACCTTGCAAAGAGGGACCCGTGGACAAGCAGGAGTGTAGGGCAGCAAGCGGGCAGAGGAAGGGAACTGACACAGCACAAGCCTCCGTTTCCTCATCTATAAAACGGGGTGACGGTCACTGCTGCTACTCTGCAGCAGGGTTTGGGGAGGATCAAGTGAAAGCTCCGTGGAGAAAGACTAAAACAGCAGGCACTTGACAGTGAAGAGCAGGCCCTGGGGAAACGGCTGAGAAAGGGGGACAGAAATGGGAGGCTGAGGTTGGTGCCCAGGAGGCTGTGGGTTGTGGGGGGAGGGGAAGCAATGCGGGGGGGGGGTGCTCTTCTGCCTTCCTAATCCTGCTCGTGCATCCCTTCCCCTCCCGCCCTGGCACAGACTGAGTTTCGGGAGTGCGACTACAATAAATTCATGAGTGTCCTGGACACCAACAAGGACTGCGAGGTGGACTTCGCCGAGTACGTGCGCTCGCTGGCTTGCCTCTGTCTCTACTGCCACGAGTACTTCAAGGAGTGCCGCCCAGAGCCCCCCTGTGCTGAGTAGCCTCCACCGGGGGCTGGCCTTGGGCAGTCTCCCACGCCCTGCCTGTCCTTCCTCCGGTCACTCTTTGGATCTGGAATGGCCCAGGTTCACCCATTTTACCCAGGGCTCAGAGACCTTCCCAGGATGCCCAGATGCCCGGCTGGCGAGGTGGAGGGGCAGCTATCAACCCCCGCTGCTTCCCTGCTGTGGACGGAGGGGTCGGCTCTGAGGCCAGGCCCAGCAGGGTGTGCACAGGCGATGCCAGGGGGGAAGGGCCTGTCTAACCCTAATAAAGCCCTGGTGTCAGCCTGGTTGGTCGATTCTTCTGCGAGGACACGCTGGGCCTTGGGACAGAGTGCTGCTGAGCTCTTTGCTCCTCTCTGGACTTTTCCACTGGAGGAAGGAGGCTGAGGGCGGGAGTCGGAGCTCCCCACGGGCCTGAGGGCAGTTTCAAATGCTGCAGAAGCACTGGTCTCCATGGTCCAGCAGGAGGGGTGGGGTCACTCCCATCCAGGGGACCCTGGGGAGTCCCTCTGCCTCGTCTTTGAGGGAGAAGCCCCCATCCTGGGCTATCAAAAAGGGAGGGTCGTGGTGGGGGTGCAGGGGGCGAAACTGAACCCTCATGACGGGATGTTCCCAGGAGGAGGGTGGGGCCCAGGGGGTGGGGTGGGGCCGTGGGAGCCCAGAGGGCAGCACTAATAGGATTAGGGTGTCTGAGGTGTTTGCTCCCAGCCAGGGAGGCTTCTCTGTATGGGAGGGGGGTATTTTGAGACAAACCCCACCCCTGAAACCACAGTCCCCTGGGGGCCTTAATGCCCACCACTGGTCCTAATCAATCCTGAGTTCCTGCCGCACCTTGAGAGGTTAGCCCGTTTCTCGCCCACCCCCAGCCCCCCTCGCCACCTGGCTTCTTTATTCCTGACACCCATCCCCATCTTTAACGGCCCCTCCTGACCCCTTCTCTGAACCTTGCAGCCATTCCTGAGCCCCACAGCTCACTCCCACCCACCACTCCACCACACCTCCCCCAGGAGCGGTCCCAGGGAAACACCTGGGGCGTCCCATCCCCTCCTGGACCTGCTCCCCCACACTCACACCACCGCCATCCTGGTCTGGGGAGGGAAGGAGAGCTTACTAACTGGCCTGGGCTCCCCTCCCAAGTTCCTGGGCCGCCACGTTCCCAAGGCCATTTCCCACCTGTCACCGTGTGGGAAGGGCTTCCCTCTCCTATCTGGTGGGCTCCTCCCTCCTGTCCCCACACCTCAGCACAGACGGCCCTGTCTTCAGCCCCCGACACCCAGGCTAAGTTGTGGACACTGGGTGGTACCCACCCTCTGGGGGTCCCTGCTGGTGTACCCCGTGCCCATCTGCGCCTGGGGACGACGGGAAGCTTGGCTCCCGCCCTGGTGGAGGGGGCTGCGGCTCTTACCACAGCAGGAGGGCAGTTTCCGCTCTCCCCCATCCCCTCATGGGCAGGGCCTGGCTGGGTATAAATAGGTCAGGCCGCTGGCCTCTCCCCACAGCTCTCCCCAGCATTTCCTCTCTCTGGGTCTGGTGAGTCGTGTGGCCTGACCGGCGGGCAAGGGGTGCCGAGGCCGAGGCTGGGGTAGGAGAAGGGGAGAGTGGGGGGGCAGATGTCCTAAATGGATCCAGATGTGAGATTCTGATGCGGAGGCTCTGGTGTGCGTGCACACGTGTGCGTGCGCGTGGACGTGTGTGCACAAGTGCGTGCGGGAGAGTGAAAAAACGAAAATGGGTGGAGGTGGCTGGATTCGAGCTCTCAGAGAGCTTCTGAGGGGCCAGGGCTTGGATGTGCTGCTGCCACAGTGTGTCCAGTGCGTGTGCCCCATGATTGGCCCGCCGACTTGTGTCTTCTGGGTTGCACAAGCTCTTGTGTGCACACTCGGGTGTGGGAGGCAAAGCGAAGGCACCTGTGGGCTTTTGCCTCTGCCTGCACCCCGCAGCCCAGCCCAAGAGAACTCCCTCCCCTCCCCTGCACCCCCACCTCTGCCACCTCTTCCTGCCCGTCCCTGTGCAGGGTGCTGGGCACTAGGCTGTAGGCAGCTGGTTTTTTCCGCTGCAGGCCCCTGGGCAGGCCTCCAGCAGCCGCGCCCGTGCTGGGAGGGAGAAGAATGAGCCTGGGCGGGGCACTTGTGGCTGGCACAGGGCTGGGAAAACGCTGTTGTTGAGGCCAGGCTGGAGGGAGGCCCAGGGACTTGCTGCCTGGATTTCCAGAGCCACTGCCCAAAGCACATGTTTCCCCCTGTGCACCTCTTCTTCACCAGGAGCTGAGCCGGCTTCTTCGGGGTCCCTTGGGATGGGAGTAGAGTCTCACCAAGTGCCCCTCAAGGTGGGAGTGGAGTGGGGCTCTAGGTACATGGCTGAGGTTTGCCCGGTAAGATGCCTCCTGCCCCCAGGTCCCGACTGCTGCCATGGCTTGCCCCCTGGAGAAGGCCCTGGATGTGATGGTGTCCACCTTCCACAAGTACTCTGGCAAAGAGGGCGACAAGTTCAAGCTCAACAAGGCAGAGCTAAAGGAACTCCTGACCCGGGAGCTGCCCAGCTTCCTGGGGGTGAGTGGGTCCTGCTTGGGAGTATGCCCTCCTGTGGGGCAGTCCCCAGGAGGAGGGGCGGGGCCCTGCATTCGCTCCAGCTGGCATCTGTCACTAAGCTGGGTGAATGGGGGCCTAGAAACACAGTCGGCATGCATCCGGCTACCTCAGTGGTCCCCAGCAGGGAGAGGGTCGGGAGTGAGTCAGCAGGTGACAGGTCAGACTCTGCACACACTTTGCACGATTTACTGAAGGGAAAACTAAGTCTCAAAGAGGTAAGTGACTTCTCAAGGAAGTTATTTACCAGGTTGCAATCCCGACTGGTGCACACCTACACTCCCAATGATTTGGGAGGTTGAGGCAGGAAGGTCTCAAATTCGAGGCCAGTCTGGGCAACTTCGTGAGACCCTGACTTAAAAATGTGAAGAGGTCTGGGGCTGGGGTGGGGGCTCAGTGGTAGAGGGCTTTCCTAGCAGCACCACATATGAATAAATTAATTAAATAAAGGTCCATCAACAACTAAAAAAAAATATTAAAAACAAGAAAGAGATCTGGGGATGTATCTCAGTGGTAGAGTACCTCTGGATTCAACCTCCAGTACAAAAAAAAAAAAATGTGATCTAGAACCAGGACTGTCTGACTCCTGCCACCCAACAATGTTCAAGTTTCTATCTGTGGAGGCATGACTACGGAGACACACACACACCTACAGACTTCTCCTGCAAACCCATTGCTTTCAGGACCATTATCTGATTGAATCCTTGGAACAATCTTGGGTGAAGATGTGGTCCCCTCATTTCCCAGTTTCAACAGATACTCAGAATCCCTCCCCAGGAGCTCCTTCTCCCCGGAGTCTGGAGGTGGAAAGCTGGTCTAGACTTGGCTCTGTTCCCTGGGCTTCTGTTTTCTACCGTAGCCTTTTCTCCCTCCAGAAAAGGACAGACGATGCTGCATTCCAGAAGCTGATGAGCAACTTGGACAGCAACAGGGACAACGAGGTGGACTTCCAGGAGTACTGCGTCTTCCTGTCCTGCATCGCCATGATGTGCAACGAATTCTTTGAAGGCTTCCCGGATAAGCATCCCCGGAAGAAGTAAAGGTCCCTCCGCTGCAGCTGGGGGTAGAGGTCTGCCAAAGAGGTCTTCCAGGTTGGCAGATGAGTTCATGCTGTGGTGCAGAACCCTGAGCAAGTTCAATAAAAAGATATTTGGAAGCTATAAGGCTGATGATCTGAGGGACTCTCAAGGCCGAGGGATGGGTCATGGGGTGGGGGAGGGGAGCACTGGGAGTTGAGCTGCAGTTTAGTGACGTTGGGTGGGGGCAATGTGGGGTGACAGAGGGGGGTGTGTGTGCGCGTGTGCGAATGGTGGGTAGAGCTGAGGCAGGGAGAGGGACCACCAGAGCTGTGAGATCTTAGCCAGCCCCCCACCCTCCAACTTCATACTGAGGCTGGGATGGAAGGTCACATCTGCTCCTGGTTGGGGTCTGGAGGGAAGACAATAGGGCTGAGTCACAGGGAGGGAGTTGTGGGGTGAGTGGGCTGGGCTGGGCTCCTGGCCCTGTTCTGTTACCCTTCTAGCTCATTGGTTTTGAACCACAGGGAAGGATTACTTCTGTTCCTTTCCAGTCAATGGCTGGATCAGGGAGGGTCGTGCAGAGGGAGGGAGACGGTCAGCAGTGGCAGGAGAATATGGTAATGCTCCAGTCCACTGTATCTGCCCCCAGAGTGTCAGGGAGGAGATCTGTTATCAGGCTCCTTCACCGATGGACGATGGACGATGGACGAGGGGCCTCAGAAGGGCTGAGGGAGGGATAGTGCCGGGTAGGAGTGAGGGAGATGATGGGCAATGACCGTAGCTTTAGAGATAAAATTCCAGACAGATGATCTGAAGAATGAAATTGAGATCTCCTCCCCCCAAGAGAGGTCTGCTGTTGCTTTCCCTCAGGGTAGGCTGAAGGCTGGTGACTTCGGGCTACAGTGAGTGAGACTGAAGTCAGATTTCAAAGCTTTTTCTGGATGATATGGAGACCTTTAAGGAAGGGGTGCACAGAAGTCCAGCCCAGAGGCTGCAGGGTTGGGTCCCCTTGACCTCTAAGGCTTCCCTTCTAATCACTCGGGGCCTTTCTCTCCGGCCTCAGAGGGGTGTGGCGGGTGACTCAGATCTTCCCCTGGAATTTGACTTCAGAGGCTGGTCCAGGAAAAACCGCCTCCTCCCCTGCTCTCTCTGAGTCCATCTGCCGTCTTTCCTGGGAGGCCCTCCCCTGAGCCTCCTCCTGCATCATTTTCTACTTCGGAAACTCCTGTCGCTTAGCAACCAGTCCCTGCTGCCTCTCTAGCCTTGCAGCCGGGGTTGGGGTGGTGTAGGGGGCAGCAGGAAGATCCAGGCAGGCCAGGGTAGGACTGTAGCAGTGGTGGGTGCTGAGCCCCTAACCCCTTCTGTTACAATCGGTTGGCCTGGGGGTATTACATCATCTGAGTAACCCTCCCTGACATTCACCCCACCCATGACTGCACCCTCAACCTGGACCCCTTCTCCTAGCCACAGCCTCTATCCCATCACAGTGCTAACCTTTCCCTGGATCTTCCCCCCCAATCCCTGATTCTCAGTTCTTTGTGCCCAGAGTCTCCAACAATTCTTTCCCATGAAGAATTTCTTAGTGAAGTTTTTTTAAAAAAATCATTCATTTAAGAGTTCTTTAAAAACTTTTGGCTTATTGGGAACAATGGCACATGCCTGTAATCTCAGCAACTTGGGAGGCTGAGGTAGGAGGATTGCAATTTGGAGGTCATCCTGGGCAACTTAACAAGAATCTCAAAATAAAAAAGGCTGGGGCTGTAGCTCAGTGGTAAAGCACACTAAGTTCAATTTCCAGTACAAAAAAAAAAACAAAAAACAAGAAAACGAAACAAATAAAACCTTTGGCTCCGTGCTAGCTAATGATCCTGTCTTATAGGAAATACCTCCTCCACTGACAGTCAGGGATCTCCAGGTGTCTGCTCTTGGAGAGGGTGGTAGGGCGGGTTCCATGTGGAGCGTTGCCCTCGGTCGGGGAGATACCTTTTATTTGGCTCATTCCTCCTAGGCTTCTGTTTCCAAAACAGCCCGACTTCCCTTCTTCTGCTTATTGCTCTATCAGATGGTGAGTTCTGGTTTTGGGTTAGAAAAATGACGTTTCTGGAACTGTAGCTATGTGTGCCCCTCCCCGCCCCCCACCTGTAAACAAGGAAGGCAAATGTGCAGCAGGGGTTTCTCCCCAGTCCTTCCCAGGAGGCTCTGCTGGGTGTCCTCGTGTCCCTAACCCCTCCTCATTGGCCTTTTCTCCCTGATCCCCTGGGCACTGGGAGCCAGGGAATAAAGGCAGAGAACTGGGGAGGGAGGCGGCCGTGGCTGCTGGCACTCCGCTGGTTCGCACTCTCCTTGGTGAGTCCCTCCTTCTGATCTCTGTTCACCTCTGCTGGCCTGAGCTGGGTGACGAGGTTGCAGGGTGACCAGCCACGGAGGCTGTGCGAGAGGGTGTGTGCTCCGGGAGGAGAGGGCAGAGTGCTGGGACTGTGACTGCAATCATGTCCTGGCTGAGCCTGGGGGTGGGGGAAGATGAGGATTTGGGGAGGTGGGAGATGAATGAGGGGTCCAGCTCAAGGACTGGTGGGTGGGCTTCGGGCTGGAGCCAGAGCCGGACATTCCTCCCCCTGGCTAAGGGCTCTCCACCAGGCCAGCTGCATTGCTCAAGGTCCGTGGGTAGGGCCCCTCCTTCCCCGAGGGGAAGTGGTTTTGAGTCTGAGCTGCAGAAGCTCAGCTATCTCCGAGGGGTGGCTGTGCTGACAGCATTGAGGCCCTCATTCCAACCCCACCTCTGGTCCAGGTCTCAGAAAGACCCTGGAGTTAGATGTCAATAGTCCTCTGGCCTCCAGGCCTCCTGGGTGCAAGTCACTGGCCTGAGACCGGAGGTCAGACAGGCAAGTCCAGTGACCTCTTTCCTGCTTCCTGTTATGAGCTTTCAGCCCCAGCCCCTCCTGCCCTCGGACTCCCGTTGCCCTGTCCCCTACTTTACAGCAAGACATTCCTTGATGTCAGGTGATTCAGGTGCTGGAGGAGAGGAGGTAAAACCAGTGCTCAGGCTGGACAGGGCAGAGGAGAAACCGTGGCCCCTTCTCTGCTCTGCTATCTGTGACTAGTTCTCTTGGGGAGGTCATCTGTCCTCTTTCTGCCCCTAGACCCCTTTGCCAACATCTCCCTAGTGGAGGATCCGCAGTTCCCTTGGGGGCTGGCCAGTCTCACTGTAATGTCCTTCTGCTGTTGGGTTTGGGTCTCATCGTGGGTTCCAGTCCCCAGTCCTTTGAGGGAGGGGCTCTGGGTGGGCGAGTGATGACGGTGGACAGAAGGTCTGGCTTCCTGAGGTCTATGGCTTCTCGTCTCCCCGCTCTAGAGCTGCACACTGCGATGGAGACTCCACTTGAGAAGGCCCTGACCACTATGGTCACCACATTCCACAAATACTCGGGGAGAGAGGGTAGCAAGCTGACCCTGAGTAGGAAGGAACTAAAGGAGTTGATCAAGAAGGAGCTGAGTCTTGGGGAGGTAGGTGACCATTTCTTCTCACCCCCCCCCAACAAAGTCACGAATCTGCCCTTGGGGGACTCAGGTCTAAGCCAGGGGTGGGGATGTCTGGAAGGTATGGCCAGAGACAGAAGGGAGAGGGTGGACTGCTCAAGCTAACAGAGTTCTAGACCTCTGTGCTGGGCATGAGTCAGGCTTGCTGAGAAGGAGAAGGGCCGAGCCTGGGCTACACCGCAAGCCTGGCTACACCGCAAGCCTGCGCAAGGGCTATAAAATCAGAGGCAGATACTTTCTTTTCTTTTCTTTTTTTAAAAACATTTTTAGATGTAGGTGCACACAATACCTTTATTTTGTTTATTTAGCTTTTTATGTGGAGCTGGGGATGGAACCCAGTGCCTCATGCATGCAAGGCAAGCGCTCCACCACTGAGCCCCAGCCCCAGCCCTGGATGCTTTCTTGATGGTGGGGCCAGGCTGTGACAGAAGTGGCGGAGCCTGTGCCAGGAATCCTGCAGGGTGAAAGTGCCAGGTATCTAGGTCAAGGGGGGACCCTGCCTGGTTCTGTGTGCTGTGCCTGGCAGAGCCACGGCTCTCAGATGGTGCTGACCTGCAGATTAAGGGTCGATTTGTGAACACAGGGTAGGAAGGAGACAGAGCTGATTATTATCAGATGGCGAAGGTAGAAGGGAGGTGACTGACAGAGGGGAAGGCCCACGAGTAGACATCATCTTATTTTGACAATTAAAAAAAATCAAGGCTCAGGCTGGTTGCGGTGGCGCAGGTCAGTAATCCCAGAGACTTAGGAGGTGGAGGCAGGAAGACCACAAGTTCAAGACCAACTTGGGCTACTCAGTGAGACCCTGTCTCAAAATAAAGAATGAAAAGGGCTGGGGATGTAATTTGGTGGTCGGGCACCCTGGGGTTTGACCCCCAGTACCACGCAGGGGAGGAATAAAAACATCAAGAAACTTATATGGAATTTGTCCAGAGGGAGGCTGAGCTGCAGTTTCAGGGCAGTCCTGCGCATTACCCTCCCTTTTTCCTTTACAATTTGGCCTGGAGGCGGGGGAACACAGGGTAGGAAGGAGACACATCCTTCGGTCACATCCTGAACTCTGGAGGGCCCCAGAGAGAAGTTCCCTAGAGCAGTGCCCCCATGGGCAGAAGATGCAGCAGGGACAGGTGTCCCCAGTCTGCTCTCAGACCTTCCTGCCTGGATCTCACCATCCTGGAGTTGATGTGGGCAGAGGCAGGGGCTACCAGCTCATCAGGGGTTAGTTACTAGGGGACACAGCCCCAGGGGAGGGCCTAGCTATCACAGGAGCCTAGAGAAGAACCAGGATCCTGTGGCAAAGAGGTAGTTTCCATCTCCACATGTGCCGGCATCCTGGATCCTAGGAAGATCTGGAGCTGAGGGCAAAGACAGGGGAAGGCAGCATCTGCCTGTCTGTGGTTCCCTCCCGTTCCATCCCGAGGGCTCTGTCTCCACCCTTCTGGTGGAACCAGGGTGAGAGGACAGGGGACCAGACAGACAGCACAACCCAATGCTAGGCTGAGCTTCAGTCCAGCTCTCCTACGGGGAAGGCACAGAAGGGCTTCTCAGCTTCCATGGACTGTTCTCATGGAGACAGACTACTGCCAGGGTGCACCTGGAATCCCAGCCACTCAGGAGTCTGAGGCAGGAGGATCCCGGGTTGGAGGCCAACCTGCACAACCCAGTGAGATCCTGTCTGAAAATAAAAAGGGCTGGGGATGTGGCTCAGCAGAACAGCCCACCTAGGTTCAATCCCCAGCATGGCAAAAACAAGCAAACAACAACAACAAAAAACAAAACAAAGCAAATAAACAGGACAGAATAAGTCTGAGATTTAGATGATGCTCAGTGTCACATAATCCTTAAGCTGTTTTTTTTATTAGGTATTAGCATGTGGAGGTCGATCATGATTTTTGCATTAGCAGGGATTGAACATGGTGTGCTATATAACTGAGCTACATTCCCAGCCCCTTTTTATTTTAAGACGTGGTCTTGCTAAGTTGCCCAGGCTAGCCTCAAACTTGTGATCCTCTTGTCTCAGAGTCTAGGTAGCTGGGATTACAGGCTTGTGCCACCATGCCCGGCTAATCCTTTGCTTTTATTTTTTTGCAATCCTGGGGATCAAACCTAGGCCCTCAAACATGTTAGGCAAGAGCTTTACCACTAAACCACATCTCCAGCCTTAGGTTATCACTTCTCTAACAGGGGAAGGTGTGGAGGAGGAGAGACTAGGCGAACTTTCCTATGGTAATGTATTTGGAGTCAGGTCACTGATCCCTACAGGGCGCCAGACCCTGAGCCAGGTATTGGCCCCAGGGGCGGGGGATTCTGGGGATCAGCATGCATACAGGGGTGCTGAATTAGCTGGAGATCACGATGAGGGTGCCTTGCATAGTGCAGCAGGGCGGGGAGGGGTTTCTGAGCTGTCCCTCCACCTGGACCCTTGCAGAAGATGAAGGAGAGCAGCATCGACGACCTGATGAAGAGCCTGGATAAAAACAGCGACCAGGAGATTGACTTCAAGGAGTACTCGGTGTTCCTGACCACGCTGTGCATGGCCTACAATGACTTCTTCCTGGAGGACAACCAGTGACCGGGGCTCCCCTCTGCCCTCTCTGTTTGCCACAGCTGTTGACCTCTCTAGCTCCTTTGACGACCCTCCTTGGCCCCTGACCCTCCTCTTCCTTCCTGATAGACTCTTCCAGCAGAGGCAATAAAGATTTTCCACCTCAAGTGTCTGGAGGCTGTTCTTGAAGGTGTCTTGTCCACTCTGTGTGGGTGGGAAAGGGCACGTAGATGTCCTCCGCTAGTGAGTGGAGACAGTTTCTGGGTGTTAGGGTCCTGAGCGCCCACCCCACTTGCTGTCATGGAGCTTGTCCTGGCTCAGTTTTGCCCTCCTGAAAAACAGGGAGGCTTTTGCAGCCTGCTCTCTGCAGGCTGCAGAAAAGCAGAGGAAACCAACAGAGAAAGTACTTGGAGAGTGAAGAGGCCGGAGCGCTGGGTGTGGCTCAGAAGGCAGTGATGACAATCAGTTCTGGCTTGTGGCTAGCTCTCGGGGCAGTCTGGCTCTGCTCCAGCCCTTTCCCTCTGCTGCCTCCCCTCTCAGAAGCATCCTTCCCCTGCCCCAATTGTCTCTGGGGGCCAGTGCTTTCTTCTCCCTCCGCCTCCCCCTCTCTAGATTTTTTTCTCAAGAGAGGATCTGGAAAACTTTTCACTCAAGAGTGAGTAACTAATGCGGGG